GTGTAGCTCCCAACCGCTTGGCCACTTTAGGAAAGTAAACACCTCTCCAGAACAAATGCACTCACTGGCCCTTGAGACAATCAATGCCAACTATCCTGCAGATCAATGGCTCCAAGTCTTCACTGCTGCCAACTATCCTGCAGATCAATGGCTCCAAGTCGATGTTAACTATCCTGCAGATCAATGGCTCCAAGTCTTCACGATAGAAAATCAAGCCAACGTTGGTGCAGGTGTCTACCCTGAACTCTTCTCTTTCTACGCAGCAGCGGGACAATAGATCCGCATTCGAAAGAGAGAGAGGCCATTAAGATAGCACTATGCCAATTATGTTGCCTGGATACAAAATTCACCAAAGCGGTGATACTTTCGGACTCACAGTCAGCAATAAACTCTATTAGAAACAGAGAGACACCCAAAACAGCTGAGATAAAGGAATGTAGAAAACTCTATGAGCTGCTGAGAGAGAAAAACAAAACAGTGGTCCTACAATGGATTCCTGGATTCTGTGACATTAATGTCAATAAGCCAAATTAATGTAAAGCCTGTAAATAAATAGAGAGGCTAAACACCTAAAAATTGGAATTTTGCCACGAAAATTTCAAAATCGACGAACTTGTGATGAGACCACCAAAATCTCGTGAGCGAGGAGAGGGCATTATCAAACTCTAAATTGACAAAAGGATACTACTTATTGCCGATTTATAGACTTTTGCCTTATGAGTATGCGTTGCCCATGGCACCCATGGTGCCAATTAAGGGCTTGATATCACGAGTTTTCGGTGGTCTGATCTAAAGGTCGTGGTTGTTGAAATTTTACAGGTGGAATCCTAATTTTTAGTTATTCAGATTTTCCATTTATTAATAATCTTTACAGGATTGAACGAATGGACGAATGGAAGAAAAATAGACATATGAATAACCACGAAAGAAGTGACGAATGGATTGCAGGTACTAAAAGAATTAGGTTCGAGAGATGGAGTCAGCGTATGATCTAGTTCCTGCAATAGACAGAGATTCGAGGACTGTGTCGAGAGTGTAGATTGTGGAGGACGTTGAGAGTGAAGATCCACATATGATACTAATAGTGACTCTATTCTTCTGTTTCAGGCAACCGCATCGAAGGTCTCTAATCAAAGGATGCAAAATTGACATTTGACAGGAAAAGGGGGAAGGGGAAACGGTATCATAGCTCAATGCTGGTTTCGTGAACATCTGCACAGCTACCCACCCTAAATCGCATTTTATACTTCGAATTACAACTGAAATAATGCTTTACACCATATTCGCGTGTACGAATAACTAGTCTCTACCCTGGAAATAGCTATAAGAGTCTGAACTTATGTCGTCCCTCGTTTCTACTTCGATGTCGTCTAGATGAACGTGAGATCCACAATAGCCAACGCGAATGCTCGAAGGACAAAAGTGCACTCGGATTTCCTAAACACTTGTGTTAAAGTTGTTAAGAGCCATAATTAGACTTCCACATTGGCAACCCATCTCACAACTAAATGAAAGCATCCGAAAACGTTGAAGTTGGGTACGACAAGTCTCATTTTACAAGGTTACGTTCCTTTTGTTTACTACTCTTAAACAAATGTGCTCACCTTAGTTACAATTCACAAATAACTGTCTTCTCCACTTCTTTCTCACAAAATCCATTCATTTCATCGAACACCTGGTGACAAACCATATTCCTTTATAGCTTTGAACGTTTGTTCTACTCGATCCATCTCCGAAGTGTGGAGGGTTATGGAGAGCTGCACTCAAATGGATCAGCGAGAGTGGGACATTGAATCAAGAGAGTTGAAGTGGGTAAAATTTTGTGATCTCTCCCATCAGAACCCGGATCAAATAGTGGCCTTGCATTAGTGATTTGCACTTCACATGATCGGGTGCCCACAAGTGCCACACTGATGAACCTCGATTAAAATAGGTAGCACTTAGATGGTAAATTATATTGCTTCGGTGCCTCTGTGTAAGTGTTTATAATGGAGATAATAAAATTCCTTGCAGTCACATTCTACCCTCATTCTGGTTGGTCGAAATTACCACGAAAGTCTACTTGAGACTGGTTCGAGAGAATTCATAGAACTAGAAATAGACATGAAAGAGTGCAAATGGAGCAGATTGTGCCACATTTAAAGATGACAAAGCCAGTGGTCAAAATATGTACGCAAATTTTCACTGAGAAGCTGTGCGCTATACCAATCGATTACTTGAAGCTAATAACAAGAGTGCGCCATACGAAAGGGCGCCACAGAAAGGTGACTTCGTGCACTCATCCAATAAATTTACTGAATGGAGCACTTAAGACTTGACACGTTTCTCACAAAAATACGCATTCTAAAATTTGTATCAGAAAATGATTTAAGTCGCTACCAGTTGGCTAATAATTAAATTCAGCAAAATTTCTTCAGTGGGAACCGAATTTGGATGCGTCTAATGAAGCCGAATATTAAAAAGCCTATAAATAAATAGAAATGACAAGACAATTTTTAAATTAGGATTCCGTCTCCACATTTCTATCCATTACGATTTTGAGATCAGACCACGAAGACTCGTGATCAGGATTGATGCATTACTAAACCATCAGTTGAACATGTTTTTTGAGATAATGCAATTATGACCTCGCACTTGGCAGCTTAAAAAAATTATTAGTCATAATTAGATTCATTGACAAAAAATTTAATCTTAACTCATTTTCAAAAGAAAATATATCTTGGAATTAAATTAAAAATTACATTTCAACTAATAAGATGGGCATCAGTATGCCAATTTTACCATTTGAGGTTCATATTTCAGAAAGTATTTCCCATTATCAAATTAAAAATTTGTTTTTCTTAGACATAAGCTGTCATTCTTCATGACGAGAACCTATAAAGCCTACTATGACCTGAAATTTACGTCGATATGCACCGTTTTCTTTAATTATATAGCCCCAACTGTAATAAAACTCTATATTGAATTATCCCACGTAAATCGTGCCACCTCCCTGATCTCGATTTTTCGATGATTTGATTTCAAGATCGTGGTTGTTGGAATTTTAGTGGTAGAATCAGAATTTTGACTTTTTAGCTTTTTTTGCTAACGATCATTATATTAATCGTCTTTATACAATGCTCCTTATTTCGAATGATAACGAAACATATGATTACCTATAAATTATAATGAAAGGCTTGACCTGTATATTTGTATAAAAAAGTATCAAAGATTAAATGCTCCAATCAATGTTTTTTGGGCTTAAGCGATTAGAGCAAACATCATTCACCATTCAATAAATTTATTGAACGAGCGCAAGAAGTCATCTTTCTGTGATGCGTCTTCGGTTGCCCGAACGCGTTATTAGTCTTAATTGCTCGTATAGTCCTACTCACAGCATTTTTATTGTCGTTGTCTACTCAAATGTTTCTCGAAAAACAGATAAATTTTCCTTTGACAATTATGGAAAATAAAATGTTATCAGTGAATTTTATTATGATACCTGTCATATTGTTAAACTCCCAACTACAAAGTCATAATTGCATTAGCTCACAAAATGTTTTCAACTGAGTGTTTAATGAAGCCTCCTGCCTAATCACGAGTTTTCGTTGCCTGATCTCAAGGTCGTGATTGATAGAATTGTGGAGATGGAGACCTAATTCAAAAGTTTTAACCGTTTCTGTTGATTACTAAGCTTTACATTATTTCTATTCATTAGACGCATCTAAATTGGTTACCTACTGACATAATTTTGCTAAAATTAATTATCAGGCAACTGGTAGCCACTTAAATCATTTTCTAATACAAATTTTAGTCTGCATATTTTTGTGAGAAAAATGTCAATTCTCAAGTGTTCCATTCATTAAATTAGTTGAATGAGGGCAACTATCACCCTTCCGTGACGCCTTTTCGAAAACCACACTATTGTCATCGGACTCAAGAAATCGATTGGTCTTGATCACAGCTTCGTCATTTTCGTTTTCTCCTCAAATTTTTCTCCGAAAATATTTGACCACGTATTTTGATCAATGGCGTCGCCATCTTTTAACGTGGCACAACCTGCACCATTTGCACTCTCTCATCTTCACTTCTAATTTTATGTATTCTCTCAAGGGGTTATGAAATAGGTATAAAATTATTTTAATGGAAGGTTTTACCTGTACAACCACAACCAATCGACCTCCAAACCGCCGGTAAAGAATAGAAACAAGCACGAAACTGCATTTTACCACCAACAAAATCACATTAACTTCTCTAACCACTACCCTACACCCTACGCCCAACTCCAAACTCACAACCACATTACACGTATTAGTCACACAGTTAACAGCTCGAAATATGCATCCACATCCTCAGTATACTCCACTCTGCTCTACCCTTCCTTTACACTTCCAAAATTTCATCATCCCACCTCACACTCAACTGGCTTCATATTGTGGTCTAAAAGACGGGCTTATAGACAATGTAAATAAGGATAAAAACGGGAGTAATAAAGTTCGATAGAAACTTTAAAAGCAAAGAAGCACAAATATTTAATTAGAACACTTTATTTGTAGACCTAGACATCGCTACGGATTCGAAGCACAGGATGACGAGTTGAATCCTTCTGAATATTGCATTCAGAAAGTGTACATCAGTCTTCTAGTTGCCTACTATCAAATATTACTTGTCGTTGATCTGCGGGGTTGCCCTCCTTATCCCGAATCTTCGCCTTCACGTTCTCTATCGAGTCTTCTAGTTCAATCCCCAGGTCAATGGCTTTGCAGGTTGGAGTTCCTATGGAGATCCGTTTGCCAGAATTTATACTTGGCAGCATGGTAATGGTAGAACCATTTTTAATATTGTAATCCTTCAAAGTACGCTCACGTAGCAAGGGTTTTGTAGAAAACTGAAGGTATTGCTGGACTGGTGGTATTCCTTCCTTATCTTGAATCTTCTCCTTCAATTTTTCAATTGTATCACTGGGTTTAGCATAGATGACAATGGTTGAGTCAGTTAGGGTTTTAATAAATATCTGCATTTCACCTTGCTGTGGGTGGGGGATAATGAAGAGCTTTTCCATTCTGGACAATGTTGTCCAAACGAGAAGGTCGGTCGTTCAGCTTCTTATCAGTGGAAACGGAACGCATCCACAATAGAATAGTGGAATCCTTTTGAATGTTGTAGTCAGGTAGAGTACGATCATCTTCCAACTGCTTGCCACTATAAATCAATCTTTGGTGTTCTTTCGGTATTCCCATTTTCTCTTGAATCCTGTCTTTCACTCTCAAAATAGTATCATCAGATTGAATTTGGAGATCTATAATTTCGTTTGTAACAGTTTTTATTTTGATCTGCATTGTTTGAAATCGAGAATTCCAATGCCAACATTAATTAATGGCTTATTAGACTTTCTGATCTTATACTCAATCTCAAGTGCGAACATGCTACCCGTTTCTCATATTCATTGGAGGGAATGTATTTCGATCTATCTAATAGTTGAAATTATCTAGACTCAGAGTAAATGTTACTCAAGCAACAAATCGATGAACTCGGATTGGAATTGCCACGTAGGGCAACAGATTATGAGTACGCCGCGTGGCAAGTAAAAGACAAACTTCGACAATCTCAGGGAATTGAGACAAAACTATCATTGAATTAGCCTCCCACCGAAGTCACACGTCAGCTGCAACACCGCGTTGCTCAAATTCGTGTATTTTTGGAACAGGTGAGTTCACATTTGAGTGCAGAAGAGCAAGAGAGAGGACACCACCTGCATATTCCAAAGACGTTTTCATTTCATACAGTGATACAAGTCAAGCACAAATCGAATTTAATTGGAATAGTGAGCTGCTGATAAGCAATAACCCCCCCCCCCATTCTTACTAATATTATTAAATCCCTTGATAACCTTAGAATTTCTTCAAGGAAAATGGAAAGAAAGTGCTCTTGAGGTAATCTCCCTAACCCTTTAACGATAAGTATATTTCGGTACAATGATTTTAATCTTTTATAACTCATTATGCACGTTAGAGCCCTAGAGCCGCCGTCATCGCTACCACAGAAACTTTGGTAAAAATAAAATGCCAAGTCTTCTTTTTATAAATTGATTAGTATTGTGTCTGGATTAGATTGTGGGACACGGTATCGCTGTGTGCGTCATCGTATGCCTGCATGTCTGCTCGGTTGGGACGCGGCCGTACAACTCTGTGTGCAGCGACCGTACAAACAGTTATCATCAGCCTATGTTTAACCTAATCCCCCATCCTGATCATGGTAGCTCCTTGCGTGTACACACTTTATCCGCAACATACCCGTACTGAATAGACGTGCACAGTGCTACACGTCTGTTTCCTTTATAGCTGGGGCGTGCTCCGTGCTACACGTCTGTTTCCTTTGCGTACTCCGTGCTACACGTCTGTTTCCTTTATAGCTGGGCGCCCCGTGCTACACGTCTGTTTCCTTTATAGCTGGGCTATAGCAACACGTCTGTTTCCTTTATAGCTGGGCTATAGCTTAGCTGAATTATACGTCTGTTTTCTTTATAGCTGGGCTATAGCTTAGCTAGTTCGGGAGTCTAGCTAGATGTAGGAGAATCTGCCAGAGATTTCTCGGGAGTCTAGCTAGATGTTGGAGAATCTGCCATAGAGACTATCTTGCCATCGAGATTTCTGAGTCAGTCAGGCTTTACTAAGGTGTTTAGCTGGTTCTGGGAGTCTAGCTAGATGTAGGAGGATCTCCCATTGAGATTTCTGAGTCAGTCAGGCTTTACTAGCGTAGCCAGAGATTTCTGAGTTAGTCAGGCTTTACTAGAGTAGCAATATTTCTGAGTCAGTCAGGCTTTACTAGCGTAGCAATCCGTGGAGCTATAGCTTAGCTGTTCTGGGAGTCTAGCTAGGTGTTGGAGAATCTGCCATAGAGATTTCGGTCAGGCTTTACTAGCGTAGCAATCCGCTACAATGCAATCCAGTCAGGCTTTGATAAAGTAGCAATCCGCTACAAGACCATCCAAGAAAAATTTCACAAATTCCAATCTTTGTTTTACTAGATGCTCTATAAATAGCAAAATATTAAAATATAGTTCAAACCAAGAATAAAATTTCAAAATGCAATGTATGTGGAATTAATTTACTCTTAAAATTATTATTGACAATAAAGTTAGAAAATGCATAACTTCAGCAAGGTCGTTCAATGACAACATATTTTTTATTCTCTAGCATTGTCAACATAAAATATTTATTGAAACTGCATGTAAGATCGCATTTTAACTAATGAGTGAGGTCTTCTTTTAGCCCCTGTAAGAGCAACCTTAACGAAACCGAAATTTCGAAATTGTCACAGTGCAGAAATTGAGCAATTTCAGTTTCGTTTCTATGAAAACCTCAAACTCAAACTGGAAAATTATAATTGAATTGCCCCACAAAAGGTTGTCAATTAAAGGTTTGATGAGGCTACGTCTCTGATCACGAGTTTTTGGTGGTCTGATGTCAATCTCGTTGTTGTTGGAATTCCAGAGCTAGAATTCCAATAGCAAAATAAATGAGATTTTCGATTTATTTATAAGCTTTGCATAACTCGGCTTCTGTAGGCG